GGCGTATACCTTACGTACTTTTTATTAGCCGGTGTGTTGATGATCCTCGTGTTATAATTTCTATCTATTAGTTGATGATCGAGCTCTTTATGATTGAATGAAGTGAAAGATCAAACTCAAAGGGCTCTCCCTTTATCGTCATCGTCGCTATCATAGTTGCTATCATCGTCGCTAAAGCTCCTCCACTTTCCTCCTTCCTTTGCTAACGCTCCTCCCTTTGACCAAAAACACAAAAGACGGTGCATGAGGGAGAGAAAGATGTTGCTCTCATACCAGATGCTTTGAGCAAACTAGCCTATCTCTCGGCAGGATGGTGTGCCCAAACTGTCATTTCATTCGAGGCGGGATCGGAGTAAGGGGCGAAGTCTCGAGCATCGGTACTCGCAGCCTTTAGGTTTAGGTAATCGTCAGATTTCCAAAGCCGACAGGCCTTCACGCCCCGACCCTCAGATGCGGGGTTCACTGAGCAAAGGAGTCGGCAGATGTTACATTTTTTTAGACTCCACCTTCGCGAAACTACTAAAGAGAAGGCTAACAGTCTTTAGCGCAGCTTATTAGGGATTTCCCAACGGAAAGGCTTTGTCGAACCCTCTTACGTTAACCTACCTTCTTGCCAGCGAAATAAAATTTGAGGTCGCGCATTCAATGACTGCTCTAGAGCCGACTTATTCGGGCATTTCCAACGCTGTGAATAGAAAGAGATTTTTACCCTTCTCTCTCCCCATATCTGTCTGTTTCGACCAAGCGAATAAAGCCGGTGGCTGCTGCTATACTATATAAGTACCGTGCGTGAGGAAAGGATCTCGCGTGGTAAAGCATCTCGACGCTCAATAGCCGTAGTTGACTATAGACCTTCACAAGTTACTTGTCATCACCCGGAAATCACAAATCTTTACCAAGTGCCAGAGATTGGTTTGGAACTTTCTTGAAGCATCAAGCCTGGCATCCCAAAGCCAGCGTAGTCCAGGCGAACTCAATAATCCGATTTTCAAAACTGTGCCCAGCCAGCCTATCCCAGATCGGGCACTTATCAACGATCGACGTGACATGAGTCAAAAGACAAGGCTTCTAGTTCCAAGCGCTTGCCCTCATGCCTGGTAAGGTCCTCCAAGGAAGAGGCACGAGCTAATCTTTTACTGGATGAAGGCCGGGGCGGTATAAAGGATAGGCTAGTCCAGCTAGATTCTCTCAAGCTAAAAGGGTAGTTTACCCGCATTGGCATTTGTAACAAAAAGAAAGACTTTGAAACCAGTTAAGACTTCAATGATTTATTTCTATATACAAAAAAGTAGGTGATAAATAAAAAGAAAGACTTACAGTATGAACTGTAAGAAAGGTTTAAACTATTGATTTATCCCGCCTAAAGAAAGAAATTATAACACGAGGAAGAAAGCCTACGGACAGCCTAATCTTCATCTCTAGAGGTTTGGAAGGAGATGTCTATGCAGTGACTGGAGTTCAAGAAGGAAGGACATTCTATTAAAGTAAAAGGAAGGGAAGCAAGATCATAAAGGCCAATGTCAGGTCTTTCTCGCCAACTCGGATTCGGATAGTTGATTCCCGATTGGTTAAGCTGTTGACATCCAAAGGAAGATGTGACATTAGAATCTTCCGTGGCAGAAGCCTATGGATAGAGATCACCTTCTCCGCTCTACGCTGACTTGGTCAAGGTACTAAAATAAAGTAAAGAAGATCATTGAAATCAGTGCCGTCTTCTCGGGTCAGAATTAAGGGAAGATAATTACTGAAGCTGGCTGGCTTGAAATTGAAAGAAAGGTCGCTTCAAGAAGCTATGCCGGATCCTTTCGTTGTTCTCTCGCTCCTCTCTCGGGACTGTAAATGGATTAGAAACCTTTGGCATTACATTCAAACTTGAAACAAGGCATGTGTAACCGAGTCAGGGTCGTAGCGATAGGACTAGTAAAGTCAAGCCTTACCTTACTCTTGCAAGTCTTTTCGTGTGCTTTGTTGTTCTCAGATGCTACATAACGGCTCCTATAGCAGAATAACCGCTATTAGTACGAATCCCCTGCTAGTATGCCTTCCTTTCGTACCGATCGTCACTGTCTTTCCTTGATGACTCAAATCAATAAGACAAAGAGTTACTAATAGCTGTAGTTAGGGCCTTTGCCAAAGAAGAAAGACTAACTTCTCCGATTTCTGTTCTAGAGCCGAGAGAAGAATGCACACTGCCTATCCTGCTTGAAGATTGCGAGATTTGCATTTGCAATAGCAAGACTCTTATATTAAAGTAAAGATATTGGTTGTGTTTGTTTTGTTTGATAAGTCTCTCCTTACTAGACTCGTGACCCAGGAACTCCCCCTTAAGGTGCATTCATGGTGAGTAAGCCGAGTCCCTTTTTTTGGATAATCCTTCAGTGCACTATCAAGTAGTCGATCAAACAATCCCTTTATGACTCCGCTTTCTGAGTCGTCCACTAATTCAACTAGATCAAGGCGTCTGAGTATAAGTTAACAATCCTAAGAACGTTCTAAATTCTTGATTTAGAAATTCCGTCAATCAATGGCTAGTCAAACTAAGAAAGAAAGCCAGAACCTCCATGACTAGGACAAAAAAAGACGAATGGAATCCTTGCCTTTTGCCTCTATGGCCATCCAACCCTCTCAAGAAGACCATTAGTTAGAGTACTTTCTTTCTTTGTAGTTATCAGGCATATGAAGATACAATCAACTTAGAAGGAAAGTTGCTGTTGCTCAACTTTAGAGCACCATCTCACCATGTCATAAGCTTTCCAGATGTCAGTCCAGTGCCAATTCAAAAGAAACGCTCTTGGCCGATTAGTTGGCTTAAAACGGCCGATATGAGCTGAGATATCGGTCCTATGAATCTGTTCCCGAGGGTCGAGCTGCGTTAAGCTCTTATTCTCCGATTCTGTTAACGCCGTCAACGCGAACTGCCGATGCGGCTTCTGACTATGCTTTCTGCGGTCTTCGTTTCGACTCTTCCGCTGTGAAAAGAATAGGTTGTTCTCAGGTGTAAAGGAAGAGCTGCTAGTAACAAGTGAGGGAAGGAACCCCAAGGAAAGAAGAAATCAAAGCTCTCTAGCCGGGATATCAAGATTCACGTGCGAAGGGACAAGCGAAAGGCTTCCTGGTATAAGAAAGAAAGTAGAGTTAGGCAAGGTCTTCTGTGAGTGAACGAGATGAGGATCGAGGCAGTTAAGTTCCACCAGGGTAGGTGCTTTCTTCGCGAGTATGTCTGTTGATGGCGCAGTGTCCTATCTGCTCAAGGAAAGCTGCCCAACTCAATGTGTTACGCATTAGCGGCATTTGCTACATAATCCGCATCTGTTGTCAGATATTTTACTATAAGGTAAGTGAGGACTTCTTCCAAGAACGGATTCTTCTTAATCTTAATTAAGTTGATTTGTTGTTGCTGATTTCTACAAGAAGCCGTGGATGCACTTCTTGATAATGGAATCTGCGGACAACCAATGAGGGATGATCATAATAGAGTTTACAAGTCGCTTTCAGATGTAATTGAAGGCAAAGAAGGAAGAGTTCGCGAGACTCTGCTTGGTAAACGGGTCGATTATTCAGGGCGGTCCGTGATTGTCGTGGGCCCTTCACTTTCATTACATCGATGTGGATTGCCTCGCGAAATAGCAATAGAACTTTTCCAGGCATTTGTAATTCGTGACCTAATTAGAAAACATCTTGCTTCGAACATAGGAGTTGCTAAGAGTCAAATTCGGAAAAAAAAACCGATTGTATGGGAAATACTTCAGGAAATTCTGGATGACCATCCTGTATTGCTGAATAGAGCGCCTACTCTGCATAGATTAGGCATACAGGCATTCCTCCCCGTTTTAGTGGAAGGGCGCGCTATTTGTTTACATCCATTAGTTTGTAAGGGCTTCAATGCAGACTTTGACGGGGATCAAATGGCTGTTCATGTGCCTTTATCTTTGGAGGCTCAAGCAGAGGCGCGTTTACTTATGTTTTCTCATATGAATCTTTTGTCTCCAACTATTGGGGATCCGATTTCGTAATAAAAAGTACGTAAGGTATACGCCTTCCTATTCTCATGTCTTAAGAGATTTGTGCAACTTTTGTGGAATGAGATACTTAACCAACGCGCCTTACCTTTCAGGTTCCGATTTGAAAGCTTTAGGTCCAACAGAGGTAAAATCCTTTGACAAGAGCTTCCGATAATATGAATGATTTGGCAGCTTTCCCCAGTAAAGACATGTTGCCCTCGTCGCTTTTAGTAGCTTATTTTCGTAAGCTCCTCTCTCCGGTCGTCCTCCTTCACCGCTATGATCCCTTTATTCTCTCGTATATAAGGATTCGGCTTGCTTCCTCAATTGGTTATTGGCTGGACATTGAATGGCATTGACCGACTCTTGTCAATAGCAATAGGTTGTTTGGCAGCAAGCGACGAAAGATATGGCTTCTGGTTGTTTGTTGTGCCCGATAATATTAAGAGTTTCCGCGAATCCACACTAGCTAACTTTACACAGAAGGACTGCTTATTAGATTCCGGAATCTCCTATAACCATATTTTCCCCATCCCTGATGATTAAATGGATAGTTTAGCTAATTGATGTGCCACCCTCTTACCATTCTTATGAGTATCCGCATTCAATTAGAAACTTAAAAAGAATAAATTCTAGCTTGAATATCATCCACAATGTGTCCAATGCTAGGCTCGGGTCTTGTTGGAGCACGGCTCCCACATTGCACTGCCTGTCTCCACATCTATTCGGTAAAAGAAAGCTTCCAATGCTAGCTTCATTCCATAGTAGACAGCCCAGGCTTAGACAACTCCAGCATCCGTGTCGTGGAAATGACTCTTTGACATAGCTGAAAAGATGGTGCCAATTCAGTCCCTTAGTCCTACACCTAATCCAGATGCCTTAACCTCCTTTCAAAGAGCTCTATCACAATTGACTTTAAAGCAGTCATTCGAGGCAAAAGGGAAAGGAAGCTCAAACTATCTTCCCCCGAAAAGGAAATTGACTTCCTGAACGACAAGTGGCACCGCAGGCGAAGAGATAGCGTTCAATGAATCAGATAATTTCTTTTCATTAAATAACCTAAAAATTTTTTATATAGGTTGTCACGAGTCTAGTTGAGTCAAGATGCGTGTCGAGATGAGTTGAGTAAACCTTGTTCCAGTTCCTTCTGTCTTAGTTGCTTGTGTGCTTTACTCTATCTTAATGCTCGGATCACGAATTTCTCTTATCGATAATGAGTTATTCGCCTTCAGAAGTAAGGTCGGGTAGGAACGATAAGTGGGTGGGGTCATTGAGTTAGCCCAAGGGGGGAGCCATCCTCTCGGGAAAGGGACAGGAGCGCCTGGCGAAACCAGACTCTATCTATCCATTCTGCCTCAGATCCAATCTGACTGCACTGACGAAAGAACAATGTCCGCCCTGATCACCCATGTGACAGATGGTGACTCCTTCATCGCGTCCTTTGCTAAGGTAGAGTGCCTGAAAGAGAAAGAAGAGCTTACTAAGCCAAAAAGCTGAATATAGAGCCAAACATGCGGTTTTTTCTCGTCAAGCAGCAATCAAATCCTGGGAAAAAGGTAGGGTAGAATCGCCGAGTCGTCTAACACCGTTCCCTGCCTCAACTCCACAATCACAATCATTTGTGAATAAAAAAGGTGGTTTGCTGCTGTCCCCGGCATTGGAAAGACCTGACAAAGAATCCTTATATCGGGAAATGTGCTATATGGAGGTTTTTTTTATGATTGTTGACGTACTGACTCATGCTCAGGATCCGCTTATGGTGGTTCGGCTTGCTTCTCTGTTGGCATTTCCTAGACCCAAGACCTACTAATATTATAATACTGCATGCAGAATGGATAGCACAGGTCGGAGGGGGCGGAACAAGGAGTTAAGCAAGGGCCAGGAGATTGATGAAAGAAACTGGCCGAAGTCAGTGTTGTGTTCAACTCCGCGGTTGGAAGGATTGCTTTCTGCCGTCTGTCTTTTCCTTCTCTCTCTTCTCTTAGCAAAGTAGGCTCAAGTCAAACTTTTGGCTTGCTACAAGCTTTACTTCCCCCTTATTCCCGACATGCTATGGTGCCCGGGGGCTGTCTCGCGAAGATCTTCGATCCGAACCTTCGCATCTACTCTCTCTTAGAGTATGAACCACGCCTTCCCCTCGCTACTGCTAAATCTCGCTATCGCAAGAATATAGCGATCGAAGAGCGATGGCTCGGCTGCATCGCGTATTACACCGTATTGCCCGAAGGGGGCCCAAATGAGTCTGTCTGCCGCTTGATTTCATAACAGAGCCGTTATTCCCGGCTGGCATAGAAGTCTCTCGCGCGGGCGAAGGAGATGCATTTCTGGTACTGGTGGTATACGGGGTATATCGAACGTTACAGTATTTTCTGAGTTCAAATTGATGCTTGAACCTTGTGATACAGATAAAAGAGAGGATGCAATCCTCAGTATTTTATATAAATCAAATTATTTTTCTTAAAAAATTTATAATTAGTACTCACAGCAAACCCTACGCACGCAGGTACCACACAGATACCGGAAAGAGCTCCCAAAATTGTAGTTCGAAGCTCCAATTTTTGGTCCATGTAACGCCATTAGAAACATGACAAGGGTTCTACAGCGATTCATATACACAACCCAGGTGTCATCTCATCTCATTCAACTCCAATTCGGACCTTTCAACTCCACCACACAACGTCGATGGAAGAAACCGGCAGTCACTGCACAAACCCGGTTGGAAGACAGAACCAGAGACCTGAAGCTCGACAACCTCATGACCAATCTCCGCAAACTCAGCTTAATCCTAAGCTTCCACAGCCTCATGTCTGGTCGTAGAAGAGGACCCTTTGTTTCTGTTCAAATCATGTCTCGTTGGAACAGAATCGTTGGTCTAAATGTACCCATTGGTGGGTTCCTCCGAAAATATCCTCATGTGTTCGACGTATTTCCTCACCCAGTTAAGCGAAACATTTGTTGTAAATTAACTTCCAAGATGACTCTCTTGCTTCAAGAAGAAAGCAACGCGATTAGAGATATGGAATCAGACACTGTCAATCGGATCAAGAAACTTCTAATGATCTCTGTCACAGGTACTCTCCACATCCACGCGTTAAGATTAATCAAAAGGGAACTCGGTTTACCTGATGATTTCCGTGAATCGATTCTTTCAAAGTACAACGAATTCGAGTTAGTAGATCTGGAAATAGTGAAATTGATCGACAGAGATGGTGTTCCTGAAGATTTGAAGGTAGCCGAAGTGGAGAAATGGAGGGAGAGAGAGTATAAAGAGAAATGGTTGAGCGAATTCGAAACCAAATACGCGTTTCCGATCAATTTCCCAACAGGATTCAAAATCAAAGCGGGATTCAAACCAAAATTGAAGGAATGGCAAAGACTTCCTTACGTTAAACCCTATGAACAAAAGGAGTCTTTTAGGGCTTCGAGCTGTGGAGGGATTGAACGATTTGAGAAGCGAGCTGTTGGGATTCTTCATGAGCTTTTGTGTTTGACAGTGGAGAAGATGATTGAAGTTGAAAGATTAGCACACTTTCGTAGAGATTTTGGTATTCCAGTTAATGTTCGTGAGGTTATTCTGAAGCATCCTGGAATCTTCTACATATCTACAAAGGGTAGCACTCAAATGTTGTTTCTCAGAGAAGCTTATTGTAAAGATTGTCTTGTTTCCCCGAATCCTGTTTATATTGTTAGGAGGAAAATGTTGGATCTTGTTTTGATGAGACGTCGGAATACCAGAGAATTGACAAGACGGCCAAGGGATGTGAAGGAGAGTGTTGGTGGTGATTGGAATGGAGGTGGCGACTTAGAGGGTGATTTTGTAATTTCAATTTTAGAAAATTTTGATGATGATAATGATGATGATGAGAATGATCAGTAGGTTTTAGTTTCAATGATCAATTTTATAGGGGCAAATTTCAAAAATATAACAATATACTTTAATTTCCCTATCATTATAGATAATGTAGTTTATCTTACCAACAATAAAAATGTACTTGACTTTCCTTACCTATAATAACAACGAACCTTCATTCAATAGTGTTAATAGCGATATAAAATATGGAACTAATAACATGCTTACAATTGTTAGATAATGAAATTTAAGTATGTTGTTATTACGGTTAAAAAGATATCATATAGTGTTATTATTGGTAATAAGTAAATTATGTTTTATAAGTTTTATGTTATATAAAATCAAAGTAATTATGAGATCTAATATACCTACGGATTTCACTTAGAAAAAAAAAACATTATTTAATGGATTACATTCTATAAACATATTGATTATATCAAAAAAATAAAATATATTACTGATTTCGAAAGCTAATTGACCCTGTTGTCCGATCTATTATGAGGTTTGAGATAAGAAATGACTTGAAAATGAATACGCTAGGTTGGGTTACTTAATTCATCCTTATCAGGTTTGGATTTTAGATAAAATAATATATATGAGAAATTAAATTATTTTATTCTTATTCTTTATACCCATCTTTCTATTATTTTTAGATGATGACATGTGTAATAAAAATTGAGAAATTGAATATCCTCCTACATTTTATTTTTATTTATCATTTTGCCATGTAGGAAGATATTTCATTTTTCATAAAATATTATTAATTTTATTAAATATAAGAAGTGATAAAAAAAAAAAAAAAAAAAAAGGTTTATCATTCTTATATTTTAGTATTATTTTTAATACAAATACACGTTTTTTTGAAAAGAAAACGTGTTAACGAAGTGGTCAAAACGCAAAGGTCTAACAATAAATTAAAGGAGTAATTGGGGGCGGATCTTCTTCAATATTCGTTCCCCTCTCCCCTCCACGTTGACGGACACAACTTTATGGTCTCTCTCCCTAATCGACGGTAGTCGGAAACTGGCTTCAACTCCTCCGCATCTTTGTTTGATCGGTAATTTGCATTCAGTTTTCCTTTTCTTATTCTTTGTGATCGATTTCAATTGGATCGTCTATCGTATTTGCGAACCTGACATTGTTAGCGGTTGATTTCTTTCATCTGAATCATCGGCGATATCGCTTCAATTAACAGGTGAATATGAGTATTCAGAGCCATTTTCGATTGCATTTCCTATTCCTTTGAGGCTCAATTGGATGATTGGTTGAACGAATCGTTAGTTTATTAAAATGTTGAATACATTGAATGGTTTTATTAATAAAATATCAATCGTTTTGTCTTTAACCTGTTGGTAGAAGTTAAAATTGGAACCTATAAGATATTATATATAGGTCAAATGTGAATCGGATGGTTATTCCTTTTGGTTGGTGATTTTATTCCTGAGATGTTATATACGTTACGATCATTTCTTGAGTTTATATTTACTCATAGGGTGATATATAATTGGAGTTCTGACATAATCTTCTCTTTGGGCAAAATGTTTGTACTCATAGGATCTTACCTCCATCTCTGATGTATTATAATAAATTGGTTAAAGGGATAATAGTGAGGCAACAAACATTGATCCGCTACCTTCTTGGTTAAGTTGACATGTATGCTGCAGCTTAGGAGAAGCCTTCTTTTAAGAAATAATTTGGTTTATATCTCGTCCACTTAGCTTTTTTTATTTCATTTTTGGTGTATGCATGTACTTATATATGCATATATGTATGTATCATATGCTTGTTGCCACTTTATAGGAATTCAAATATGTACATTGAGCATCTAGTAGTTGAAGTCTTTATAATGGACTACTATATTGATAAAAGAAAAATGTGATATGCAATTGCAGCTTGTGTACACTTGCTAGTGTAAAGACCAAATGGACGAGAAATCTAAAGCTTCATCAGAGAAGGAGGTAAGATCTTGAATCTATCCATATGTTATATTATATCCTTGGTTGTATCACATACTATATATAAGTAAGCACTTGTTTCATCAGGAAGAAGTCATCAAGAAGAAGTATGGAGGCATTGTGCCAAAAAAGCCCCCACTCATTTCCAAGGTAAGCTTCCAGCTACTTGGAAACTATGGGCTTTAATGGAATTTTAACTTTTGCATTTGATATCAGGATCATGAACGGGCTTATTTTGATTCAGCTGATTGGGCTCTCGGAAAGGTACACACTTTATTATTATTATTATTATTATTATTATTATTTTTTCTTGTAAGAATTTGTGATTAAAACTTGTTAATGTTGACAGCAAGGTGTAGAGAAGCCCAAAGGATCTCTCGAGGCACTTCGGCCTAAACTACAGGTATGTAAAAAATTTGTTGCAGTAGATCCCGTCTGTTATAAAGATATGACATGACAGAACAGGTTGTACTGATTGTGACCTGTGTTGACTGTGATTGTGACATTTTTTTTAATTGTGTTTATTACAATCCAGCCAACTCAACAGCAAACAAGATATAGGAAATCTCCTTGTGCACCAACAGATGGAGAAGGTACATGTTGTTTTGGTTGTTTAAGAAAATTGTTTGTAGTGTTTATTATATCTCTTTAATGAGCTTTTCAATAAAAGATAAGTAGCTAATTATTTGTTTTGGTTGTTTGAATAGATGGAAACAGTACGCCAGCCTCGGATGATGGTTCTATGAATGAATGAATGAGAAAGTGATGTTGAATGTTGAACTTCTCTCTCCCTTTTTCATTTCATGAATCAATAGCTACAAACATATTGTGATACAAGTATGCAACTTGCATTCTTTTTTTTTTTTCTAAGTGTTTTTTGTTTTTTTTTTCTTTTCAACTTTAATCCATGTTTGAACTAGCTTTCCATTGGGATCTATGAACTGTGCTGCTGTTAAATGACTCTTTTGCTTTAACTTTTGTGTTTCATCTCTATACCTACACATTTTTTACACCAAAAAATACTCTTTTTTTTTTTTTTTTAACTTTTATATATATATATATATATATATATATATATATATATATATATATATATATATATATATAATATATATATATATATATATATATATATATTGTCAAAAAACACTCTTCAACTTATTAGTTTTTTTACATCTTTTTTTGTTGTAAAAATGTTAAAATATATGTACTAATACAAAACTAAAACCAAATAAACGACCCCATTTACTGACATTGCCCCTATTGAAGACGAAATCAAAGCGCACACATAAAGACGAATATGTGGTGTTTGAGTTTTAGTTTCAGTTTTAATGTAGGGGTGTAGGGTTTAGACGTGTGTTTAGATAGTTACTTTAACTTGAAATGACATTAACCTTCTCAACAAATACAAGATACATTTGTAGATTTCTTCAAGTAATTTCGTTTTTTGATAAATTCTAACTTTTTTTTTCCCATTGTCATATGATGTGGATGAAAATATACTTTTCAAAATTTCAATCTTTTTATTGTTAACAAGCTTGTTTTTATTACCTTATTTTATGGGATAGTTATCATACATATTAATGGTGACACAGAAACATAGTGATAATATATATGGGTGATACAGCCCAAAACGAATCCTTGCTCAAGTTCAATAAATATCAATCCAAACCAAAATTTAAGCCAAATATGTCGCAAGCTTATCGATTTCATCTGGGCTTCCTATGAAAATCGGAGTGCGCTGGTGAATCTGTTGATAAAACAAAAAAAAAAAAAAAAAAACCCTTAGTTTTTGAAGTTATAAAATAAAATAGCTTGGTTGACTCAAAGAAAGTCAAAATTCACCCGATTCTAAAAACCGAGAACAATTTACCTGGTCAGGTTGAATATCAAGAATCCTCTGGACACCATCAGTGGCTTTCCCACCAGCTTGTTCCACCAAATAACTCATGGGTGCACATTCGTACAACAACCTCAAATTCCCAGTTTTTGCTTTCTCATTCTTAGGGTTACCATAGATACCACCATAAAGCAACATTCTATGAATCTCACCAACAAGGCACCCAATATATCTCCCTGAATACGGTTTTCCATTTGGTCCACCTGGTTTTCGTAGATGGTTGAGATAGTTCTGCAACTTACTATCCCAAAGATCAAAATTCCCTTCGTTAAAAGAGTAAATTCTTCCTGATTTTGGTATCTTTATATCCTCATGTGTCAGCACGAATTCTCCATATGCTGGATCAAGTGTGAATCCATGCACTCCATTCCCTATCGAAACCGTGAACACCACTGAGCTCGAATACAAACAGTATCCTGCGGCTAATAAGTTGCTTCCAGGCTGGCAAACACTCACGATACACTTCTCTTTAGCCTCATCTAACTAATCATCAAAAAGTGATCAAGTTATTCTTCCAACAATAAGCCAATCCACATTGTAACCGAAACTCCCAACACAGAAGTAAGTAATCCCAATCCATATTGCAGACACATACATATGCTACTGCGACTCGAACCCTTGATCATTTATGTTAGTTTGAAAATGACAGTATATAAAAGGATTATGATGGTTGTGTAAGGAGGGGTACCGTGTCATTGTCGTAATCAACGAGGCATTGTTCATCGGGAGCGTATATGCCGAAAATAGAACCTGTTGTTAAGGCAATGTCAATGTTAGCAGATCCATCGATCGGGTCAAACACAACAATGTAGTTCCCGGAATCAGTTTCTTCAACTGCCACAGGCACGTCTTCCTCCTCTGATGCTATGATCCCCGTTCGACCACTTGATCTTAAACAATTGCAGAACAACTACATAGATATGATTCAACTTTCAACAAAAGGAAACAAACACGTTGCTTTGACTGATTGCTTTACATTTTGAAAAGTCAAAACATATGTATACCTCATTAGAGATGACATCGAGCTTCTTCTGGTCTTCGCCCTGGATGTTCATGGTTCCCTGAGCCCCAGTCAGGTTGATAATGCTGGACCTTTGTAATAAGGAAGCGATTTGCTTGCAAGCTAATGAAATGCTTGATAGAACTATGGTTAATTCTGCGTCGATATGGCCAGCTTGTTCTTGCTTTAGTAACCATGTTGTTAGGTTCTCCATTTCGTATCTGTTCTTTCTCTTGATGGGGGTGGGGGTAGCGGCGGGGCTTGTCGGACCAGCTCCGGCTCCGGCGACAGCTTGACAACGGAGAGAGAGGGGTTTCCCGGTGAAAAGTGGTTGTATTTCATGGTGGGAGGGACGGAGGTTGGAAATGGAAGTGGTGGTGGTGGTAGTTGAGAAGAGAGAAGACGGATGCGAAATTAGAATTGATTCAGCCATTGGAGTGTGAGGCCTTTGATTGGGGAACTTGTTATCTTTTCTTTCTGTAACAAACGAGTGAATATGATTGATGCGATGAGAACAAAGGCAACCCCACCATATCTCAAAACAGAATATACTTTCTTCTTAATTTCCAAAATCATAAGAAAAGTTCAAATTTTATTTTTATAAATTCAACATCACCAATTCGTTTATTTATTTATTTATTTATTGGGAAAATTTCACATATATCCTTGCAAACATTAAGAATTACGTCTATATCCTTTCAAAGTTCATAATTACGTATATATCATTCTTAACCTATTAAAATCATATTTATGTCCAATCTTATAATTTAATGAGGTATTAATGAATTTAATACAAAAAAACGTATTTAAAAATCAAAATAAAAGTTGATTGTACTAAATTACCCTTTTCAAAACTAAATAGATTTAATTAGCATTAAACCTAATTAATAAGGCAAAACCTAAACACGTGAATTGTAAACCCCAAAACGTGAAATCTCCTAACTTTTTCATCATGTTTTTTCTTCTACAAGCCGTGAGAATTTCTCCTTCGTTTCTTGGAATATCGCTGCTAGAACAATAGTAGTAAATCACATTATTTCTTCATATCAGGTTAATGTTATTCTTCCTTCGATTAATTTTGGTTCCAATTAACTTTTTGCATTCGATTAATTTTTGATTATGTATTCAATATTTGGTTTGCAATAGACAGATTATTGTCCTCCTCTTTGATGGATAATGAGGTTAATGCACCAAGATGGGACATAAGTGCTCACTCACCCGTAATTGAGTAAGTTTTTATCAACAATGGATGATATTTTATGTTTCCCTTCAATTTTATTAATTGTTTTTTTTCATTGTGGTTATCAGACAAGTAATATCGGAATTCAAGTTTAAATTGAAATATGGAGGCTTCTTTCGGTTAGCTAGGAACTCATGTAGGCAAGTGTATTGCTTTGGATCTACAAAGTGTCTCTATATAGACACATTTTCATACGACTTAAATCATCTACTTGAAGAGGTGAAAAGCCACTATCCGTCACAAAGCGATATTGTTTTGTCAATAGTATTTGTTGACAAATATGCAAAAGAGCAATGCTTTATTGAACTTGATAATGATAAGAGCTTCATGGTGATGCTAAACATGTATAATGAGAATAAAGAAGTAACAATTTATGCGACAACCGAAAAATTAAGGTATAACCCTAAACCATTAAGTTGTCAAGATAAAATTATTGATGAGTCTGATGATGAAAATGAGACAGACTCGGTTTGTCCAAGTCAAGAAAGCTATCATAGTCTTCATAGTTCCGATAACGAATATGAGCTTTTAAATTATGGTGAAACTTATGCATATAGTAAGATGAATCCATTTATGAAAGTGAATTCTAAATTCCCAAGTGTAATTGCTTTTAGAAGAGCATTAAATCATTATGCACTAATAAATGAATTTGAGTATGTCATTGAGAAAAGTGATTTGACAAGACTTACAGCATGTTGTGGAGATAAAGAGTGCAAGTGGAGAATTCATGCTTCTCTTACACAAGATGGGGTTACTTTTGAAGTAAGTATTAAATTTGAGAAATACTAAATTCTTCGACATTGTTATTATGTTAACATAATTATATGTTTTTTTTTTTTTTTTTTTTTTTGCAATTTTGTAGGTAAAGAAATTTGTAGAAATTCATTCTTGTACTCGAAGCAACAAGAGTGGTAACAAACATGCCACTTAAGGATGGATTGCTAATGTTGTCACCGACAAGTTGAAATCTGAAGGCGATGTCTCTCCTGCCGACCTACACGGGTTTCTGTAATGTATTTCTTCCACAAGGAGCATTTTGTAACGATATTATGCCATACGAACAGTTATGTAATGTATTTTTGCAAAAGCAACATATCCAACATGTTACCAAATGCATTAAATAGAAAAACCAGCATGATGCTGGGAAAATTACAATATAAACAAAATAAAATTCTAAAACAATAACACTTTACTTTGACAAGACAACAACAACACCACCAAAATAACACTCCACTTATGAGACAACTTCCTAATTCCTAAAGAAATAACACCCTACTAATTTTTTTACTTTAATTTTGGGGTCGGCTTCATTAGCTCTCTTTCTACCAGAATTTCATGTAGATGAGATCTTAGTGATAAGTCAGCCTCATTTTCCACCTTGTTACCAGAGCTCTTTGATTTCCAATTTGCATTTGGATATTTGATGTTCTCACGACCCAAAACAATACAAGGTGTCCACCATTCCTTCGTCGACAAATATATTTATCCAAAACTCTTAACACTGTATAATGATTCGTTTAGTCTCACTAAACATAAGAAAAAAAATATTAGTATCTGCACTATCGATAAGCCATATCATTGTAACAATAAAACAATATTACAAGTGTATTTTTAATTTCTTACTTTTTTGTTACAATATGGACCAACCATACAAGTATAAGGATAAAAAGACCATCTTTGGCTCCATGCTTTGATGCATAATCATATTTGCATTCATGGGAGGTGTAGATACTCGTTAACTTACTAGCAGAAAACATATATTCCCTTTCAAAAATAGTTTTATGGAAACTGATAGTATTGATTTGGGTCCACACGACCTTTTTATAAGATATTTGACAAAAAATCAATATAATTTTCTGAAGATTTTTCATAATTATTCAAGTAATATAATAATAAACATCTATATTGTAACTACATCAAATTGAAGATGGAAAAGAATATATGAACCATCAAATGTGTACTTTGAATGAAAATGGGGACTAAATTGGCCATCCAATCTCTCACTTGCATCCATCACTTGTTTTTTTTGCTTCTGTAAGTCAACATCAAGATGAAAAACATAGAAAAAGTCAAAGATTTGGCCAATAAGATTTCTTCTAAATTTTAATCAGGTGAAATAAAAATAGAACAGAAACTGAAAAAGAATAAGAAGAATGACAAAGGAGAAGAAGAGGAATGTAGAACAGATTTGGATGATGGAATTTAGTATGTATTTGTAGGTATATGTACATGTTAGTGCTAGAGTGGTATGTACAGACTTTATAGAAATCACAAATTGAAATAGTGGTACGGACTACACAAACAAACGTTGTAGAAGATGATTTCAAATGGAGTATTATATACCCAATTATCATACTCCGAATAAAAAATTGAACACCGGTGTGTAATATGGTTCAGTGAATCAGAATAATTCAAAGTCGCTTTTGACATTCCAAATATCGGGACACATTGGCCTTATCAAAATCATAAATCGATGTGTCGGCGTATTCAATAATAAGCAATGTAATCTATGCACATTAGCTTATTCACAGCAAAGCCCTAATTTATAAGCGAATAACACATACAAAATTAGACATGAATTCAATACCTACTGATACTTGAAATTGAGGCTTGATGCTCCCACATACTTGAAATTGAGGATTGACACTTCAATTGATGGCCATCGGTGATAAGAGGAGGGGGGATGTGTGGATGACGATTTTTCTGTCGTGAAGAACATGGTTAGGAATTTTCAGGGCGTGAAGGTTGGCAATGTAGCTTGCCGGTGGTGGTAGCCGGTAGAGGGCTAAGAGGGAAGAAGGTTAAGAGGGAAGAGGGTGACGCCGTGAGGGAGACCGGAAGATAGGAGGAGGGGGAGATGAGCTCGATTTTTTGGGGAGGAGAAAGGTCAATCTGGGATGGATTGATCGAGGTTCAAGGGAATCATTTTTTTTTATTGATTCACGATTTCTAGAAAAAAAAGAATGACATTTAATTTGAATATAATATGTAAAGGGTATTTTTGTAAATTTATTTGTATTTATGATTTTTAAATATAATTTTTGATAGTAATTTGATTAATATTTCATTAAATTATAGGATTGGATATATATGAGAATTTAATATATTAAAAAGGATATATAGGTAATTTCGAATTTTAGAAGGATATAGACGTAATTCTTAATGTTTGCAAGGATATATGTGAAATTTTCTTTTTTTTAAATAAAGAAAAAAGAATTAAAAGAAACAAACCATCAGTTTCTTCTACCCATTAAGACTATTTTTTTATTTTTATTATTATTTTTGTTTTTTTATTATTAACTAGACAACCCAACTAAATCTAAGTTTTATAAATCATCAGCAATATATGAACTTAACCAAACCCAATTTTCTATTTTAAAGTTAATTTCACTTCATGATTAAAACTTCTTGCCCTTAATTTGCAAGTATTACAGTTATACTCTATCTATACATGAAAAAGTATAAATTTTGGTATCTCTTTTAAATCTTAAATAAAGATAAATATATTTTTTTTATCTAAATAAAACACAGGCACAAAATAATAAGTTGACATAAGGAAATAATTATAATACTAGAATTTTAGATAATAAGATGAAATCGATAATTTTATATTTATAAAGATGTGTAAAATTGAAATAAACAACAAATTACAAACAAATATGTGAAATACAAAATCACTTTAAGGATGTATCTTACAAATAAAAAGTTAAATAGTGCCATATCTTACAAACACATATAAATACAAAACTACATAATGAAATAGCATATAAAGGCATTACAAAAATAAAACACAAATTGAGCTATAATCAACTTTCATAAAACTTTGACAATAGATAGTGTTTCTTATTCTTCACGTGACAAGTGCTCCATTTTTAATGGTATATTCAAATGCACAAGTTGCATATTCTTTAGCTCCCTTTCCTCCATTTTGATATATTTCTCTCCTTTTCACTATCTCTAGTAGGCCCCGGTGCGTGGAGTTCTATAACACTTTCGTTAGAAGCATTGAAATTTTATTTTCTTTTGATATTGTCCATGATGAGTCACACAACTCTTCTGATTTTGTCGTGGGACATGCACTTGTGACAATCACACATGTACTTGTCAAAGTACTCCAAAAAGATGGTTGAAACGACACCATATGAGATATGGACAGAGAAAAGTCCTAATTTTTCTTATATTAAAATATGGGGATGTGAGGCTATGTGAAACGTTAATAATTGAAAACGTTAGGTCCAAATTCTAAAGATTATAGATTTGTTGGATATTCTAAAGTAACCATAAAATATTACTGCTACAACCTATTCGAAAACAAATTGTTTGGTACAAGGGATGCTAATTTCGAATCATGAGCGTTTCATTCCTTACTCTGAAACCATTGTGATTTACTTTATTCATTTGGCGTTGGACGCCCACTAGCAAAGGATGATCTAATTAATTTAGGTGCTGTTTGTTTTTTCGAAGCGAAAATTCATGAAGTCGGCAGACCACCTTTGCAATCCTCTGTAGCAGAAGAGGTGGAACAAACGGCTGCAGCCTATAATAAAAACCATGTTTGTTTTTTAACATCTGCAGTAAACTAAAATTTAAATAAACTAATTTTATAAATTGAAAATAGTTCTCAACATTGAAATTTAATGATTCTAGTCTTAAAACATTGAAATAATAATAACAAGAACATGTAAAAAAAACAAAAATATAAAACTTTTTTAAAAAAACATAAAAAATATAAAAGAAGCTAATAATTTTATTCTAGAAAAAAAAGCTAATTTTAAAAAACATTAAAAAAATAACAAAAAAATTAAGAAAGTATTGCAAACGCTGTCTAAAAAGTTCGTAAAAAATTACACACGTTAAAAAAAATGTAACTGAAATTGAAAATATTATTAATAAAACAGTAAAAAAAAATTAATCAAGTTAAAAAAATCCTGGAAATTATAAAAATAAATTGTATCACATCCGTAAATAAAAATTTAAGAAAATCAAAGTTTAAAAAAAAAAAAAAAAAAAAAAAAAAAAAAAAAAGTTATACAAAAATTCTTAAAAAAACACTTAGAAAAAATGAAAGCTGAAGAGGTTAGAAGAGGCAAGTCAAGTGTTGCGCCACGCAGCACACGTGCAGAGGTTTTGTAGTCTGAAGTCTTCCAAAAAAACAAACTGCTGCGAGAGGAAAAGTAATGCGCGTGTGCTGCACCGCGCAACAATAAGTGGTTTGAAGAGGTTTTTATAGAAAAACAAACAACACCTTAGAGTAGGAGAGTGGGGATTTGTACCTCACTGACATGCCAATGTATACAATTTATACATGTAACATGATTAAAATTAATTAATGTTTTAAAACCTGGGTTTTTGGTTGACCCATTATGATGCGGGTTCACGGGTCAACCGGTTCAACCGGTTGAACCGCCGGGTCAACCTGATTTATGGTCTTTTTCTATTTTTATATATTTTTACTTTCATACATAATGCATAAACATATAAAACCAATAATTTAATGTCCACAAAGTTTAAATATTTAAAAACATTGAAAAACATTGAAGAAACCGCAAACAGCTCGTTGTTTTGGTGTTCGCTACTTGTTTCCAACTATCCAAACCTTATTAAAACGGGTCAATCAGGTTTTAACCGGTTCAACATAAGCGGTTGAACCGCGGTTTAGAGGAAACCCGTCCGGTTCGATCCGGTTCGTATTTTTACAAAAAAATCGGTCTCAATTAACCCGCCTTCTACCCCGGGTCACGGTCCAACCGGTTGAACCGGCTGGGTCAACCCGGGTTTTAAAACATTGTTTTTGATATAAAAGAGAGAAAACCTATGGTCAACGTGCATTAACTACGGTCAAAGTGCATCTTGGTCAAAAAATACCACTTATCCTATTTTAGCCATTAAAACCGTAAGTTTCTTAGGAAAACCTATGCTCAACATGAATTAACTACAGTCAACGTAACAAAAAAAGGAATACTATTTCGGGCAATGAGCTACAATTTCAGGGATCGTCTACTCTTTCGGGGCATATCGGCCCATAGTACATAAGTTTTAGTTTTTAGATTTCTT